ACGTTAATGAACAAAACAAAAAAAAACATTTGCTCTGAAGTTTTTGTATGCGTTGGTGAATAGATCGAGCGCCTATTGAATACCAAAATAGTTGTAGTCATGTAGGGAAGCTGCGTGCTTGGTTTCTTGGACACAAATTCGAAAGAGTATAGTTTGGCTGCCAGAATCTTCTGAACTTTATTTTTAGGCTACTTAATAGATGAATATAGAATCTATGGCAACTGATATTTCTGGGTTCGATTGGAGTAGGCTGCCAACTTTCTTGGCAGTCTCATTGAAATTTTGACTTTTTTGGGGCAGGCCTGACAGTAGAAGTCGTCGATTTTTTTTATTATATTAAAGTCCTAAGCTAAAACTCTAGGTCCACTATAGGTACAAGAATGGTGGAGCTGGCGGGGATCACTTCTAGTAGGCCCAACTCTTTCCAACCGTGAGACCCACTACAGAAAAAGTAGAAGGTAAATTATAACTCAGAAGACACCACCTACTCCGACTCCAAAATCGAGACTCCATCCTTCAACCCTAAATTCAAGTACATAAAAATTTCCTCAGAAAAACGACACTTCTTGCCTCGATCCCTTTTGTGTCATGCGTTGTGGAAATGACTAGTTTGTCTGATCCCCGCTGAGAGCAGTGGATGAGTGAGCAGGTCGTCTATCAAAACAGCCTGTTTCCTCTGTAAATATTTTGGAGCTATCGTAGCATTTGGGCCCAAGAAGCTTTTTGATAATGTCAGCGTGGGACATTGACTTTCTGAGCCTACGAGTGTGTTGTGCGTGGCGGCTACAGTGGATGAAGTAGGTTGGAGTAGTTTCCTTTCCGCAAGAGCACTCCATAGGAGCGTATGGGTTGTTGAAACGGCAATGGTATGCCGCAAAATTGCCATGACCTATTCGTGCTGCAATTAGTGCCCGGAGGAGGTGCCTAGAGAGAGACAGTTCGGGTGGTATGCGTCTCCGCGCCTGTAGCTTGAGTTTGCGGTATTTAGGCGGACAGGCCTCTTCCCACCAACTGTCCAGCAATCTCTACCGTCTGCGATTCATGAGGCCTCGAAGATGTGCCAGAGTACTGGATCCTGGTTGCGTATCTGGGCTAGGCAATTCTCGAGGTGCTGCACGGGCCATGGCGTCTACCTCTTCATTTCCTTGGATTCCTGCATGCCCTGGAACCCACTTCACTGACATTTTTGCCTTATTGGATGACGCACAGAATTTGCGTACATCTTCAAGGCTAGTTGAGGACGAGCCAGTCAATAGTACGCTTACAGCTTGTTGGCTGTCTAGAAACACATGGATTTGCTGCGACCCTCCTACTTTCCTGCACTTTTCGTTTTCCAAGAACTCCAGTGCGGCCTCCAGAGCCATCCTTGCTCCTATTATCTCTAGATCTAGCACCTCCTCCCCGTGCTTGATGCCACTTCCTTTGCCGATGAGTTTCTCATCCTTTTGCAGAACAAAACCCCAGATGGAGCGTCCATGTCTTTCCGATGAACCACCCGAGTATGCGCAAATGTCAGTTCCTGGCACCTCGCTAATCCATCTAACGCAATCTTCGCGTTCCATCGGCTTCGAGCCTGATTTCCTAGGGTAAACCACCGGCATCAGACTTCCAGGGGCTTCTGCTTCCGGAAGCTCTCGGTAGGCACGCTGTAATCATGACATCTAGATTTCTGGTCTGGCTGAGGTTTTGGCAGTCTTTTTGTATTTTCGGATGCCGACATTCGGGCACACGGAAGCGCGGATCCTCAAAGGGTGTCGATCGACAAGGGTCTTAAGCCTTGCCGAAAGCTGGAGACGGTTTCCAGAAGTCGTCGATGTTTCAGTCTTTCTACTGTATTTCTCCCAAAATTTATGACAAACGCAACTTCATGCCAAAGGATTCTTGCATACCCAACGAGTATAATTATTAAGATTGCAACTCTAGATGGTGTTGGCCATGTCTACTGCTAGAGATGGGTCAGAGAAAAGCTGTTGTAAATTTTGTCGCAATAGAAAGAAATTTATTTATGGACTTCATATCACTAGCCGAGTATTCATGGGTCATTTTTACCAACTGATAACTAACCAAGCTCGTCTCCATGGGCTCGATTACAGCTCTAGCTCTGCTCTAAACTCTCTGCATTTGGTTCTCTTCAATTCTGATGGACTAAAATCTCTTCTTATTTTGTCGCAGTTCTAAACTATTAGGGTTTGTTCGGTCAATTCGGAAGGGCTTGACATCAGGTTAATCATTATCGCTTGAGAATTTTGCTGAAGGTGAAGACTTTTGGTGAATTTATATACAGTAGATCTCCCATAGGGCATGAAGGCCAGGCTCCTGTCTTGTATAATTCTTAGAAACTTCTAATTAATTTAGCTGTAATAATCTTCATTCACCTGCTCCGTCTAGTCTAGCCCCATACCATCCAAGCTGTCTGCCTCCGAGGTAAGCCAGGAATCTCAACACTTCGTGCAGTGTATGCAGCTGGGTCATAATTCATTTGCCTTCATCTTTTCCACATTATTGTAAGAAGTAATTCTCGGAGGACAGCGTGTATGAAAACTTATACTTTTCGCGTTCTCTCATGAAGTTTTTGCAGTCTGAATGTTTTTGTTGAGGCTATTATGGGCAGCACTATCTATCGGAAAAAATTGACATTGTTAAAGTCAATTACTCCATGCGTTGGCCAAGATACCCCCTTTGAAATGAGAGCTGGAAAGTCTGGCCTGTAACTATAGGCAATTTTATCAATCTCTTCTAAATGAGGGTTGTATATGTTCAGAAAGCCTATGTGCATTGACTCAAGCTTAGTATTCTACCAGCCTTCTTCCGGGATCTAATATTCCCGTTCAGAGCTATGCTTGAGTGTCAGGTGTAGCTCCATCGCCGCTTCACTTGGAGAATGTGTCGGTGTATTAGTTCTGCATTAGCTGAGAATTTATTTCTGGATACTCACTTGTACCTTAATTGTCTATATCTATATCTACAATTAGAAGGCTCGGATGAAGCAGTTTAGCCTTCGGACAATGAGAAGCAGCAATGCTGGAAATCACGGCATAAAATTTCGGGGCAAAATGTATTGTAATAGCACCGAATAGCTTCCCTCACTCAGTGCAGCTAGAGTATTTGTATAGAGATTTTGCGTCATCCGGAGTCTAGTGTTCACAGCATTTCATATCACATATTTGAATACCTTTATCCTCTAGCAAGAGAGAAGACCCAAATTGGTAGGCATTTTATGCGAATGAACTTTGTTTTGTAGCTGCCTTTGAGCGTATTGCTGATTGGTTGCAAGAAAGTAGTTTAGAAGTCTAACTTCATAACCACCTGACTTCGATTACTTCTCTCAAGTTTTTTTGAGATAAAACTGATGCTGGTCGGACATGAATTTCCTGAACTTTTAATGATCGACACAGATTTACGCCCTACAAAAGGTCCCAGTAAAAAGAGTTTAGCGACTCCTCCGACTGTAGAGCTAGTGCAAATCGATCATGATCTAGATGGGCTATCTCTGTTTTTGGGGTGCGGGTAATGCGTTTCGTGGCCTCGGTACGAAGAGCAGTGCAGGAGTCAATTCATGTTTCTTTTTTTTCCTTGGCCGACACAATCTCGGTGTCTATACCTGGCAGACAAGTTGCTCATCCACGTGTCTAGTCGTCTAGTAAGCACTGTGCGTTACCAGTAAGTTGTACTGGCCGGCTGGCCTTCACTCTTTGCGTGGTCCACCTCTTTGAAAGCCGGATTGATTGCGTACGTCAGAAATTGAAGCTACAAATAACTTTGTGCAGCGTAGGTAAATTTCGCCGACCCCGCATCTTTCAATTTGAAACATTAGTGGAGAAACGCCAAGTGGCCTACAGTCTGTCCCCACCATAATCTAATCCATCCCTCTAAATTTCTGGCCAACAACTACACCCACAGAAAAAAGCGGTTCCTGGTTGTTTCAGTGATCTGAGTAGTAATTCTATTCGAGTCGGACAATTGATGCTTCCAATCAAGCATTGTCCCATTACATGTGACGCCACTGCTGTCAGGATAACGGGAGTGTACCTGAGTAACTAAACCTCTAGTCATTTCCCACGAGACAGCTGGATTTCCCATTAAATTTGATTATTGGCGGATATGGAGAAATATCAAAGATTTTCGAATACAAATTGAAACCTCAACTCGTGTACGTATGTGTGGAGTGTATTCCAGATATTCATAGATTCATCCTATACGTAGCAGTGATTAGCTGCTATTTGTGTACGATTAAAAAGCATAATGTATCTGTTTTCTGATCTGAATCTTCTTCTATGCAAGATATAATTTTTTATCACTTCTTAAACCAGAGACGCCAACATCACTTTTCTAGCTTACGTCTAGCTGCAACCCTCTACACAAGCCATAATTTTTTCCTATTCTTGAAAAGGCTTTAAACTCTTCATCACCTTCTCTTTCAAACAAAACAATGATCACTTACGTAGTTGTAGCACCTGGGATGCTCGTAGAGCTCAATTGGCGGAAAGTTCTAATATTATCGACACAACTAAATTCTAAAATACAATAATCATTTTGAAGTGTCCAGAGGCTATTCAGTTAGGCGCTGCTGTTCTATGTGTTAGTAGGAGAGTCAGATTCTATCGTTCGGAACTCTCCCAAACACCTTCAAAGAATCGCATCTCATGGCAAGGTCGTTTTCAGCCGTCAGGAAAGTGATGCCAAAAGTGTGCGTCGTTAAATAGCCTATCATAGCACCTTCTTTCCATCTAGAGTAACCTGAAATACCGTATACTGACCTATGACTGCAGGCCTTCGAGATATAATTAACAGGAGAAAATTTGGCGGGGGAAACTTTAGAACTCTAGAATCTGGTGGTACGGGATTATGATTTTAAGAGTTGTGTTACTTTGCACCTACAGAGATTTGAATAGCTCATAGTAGGCAGCGTATATATTGCTGTAATGAGGTCTCCCAACCAGACTTGTGATGATTAATTCAACATGATTTTATATCTTGCCAAATATTAATACTCGTTATCCTTAAAGCAGTTGATAGGCTATCGATTGGATTAAGCAATTTGGGCCTGGGTAAGATGCTACTTGAATATCAGCCTTAGAAATCTTTGAGGAGAAGGAGTGTGTAGGGAACATCGTGGTTGGTCGTTGAGTTTTCATCCCTCATCTTGCGTTATTTTCTTGGCATCTATGTACCTAATAACGCCGTTAGCTTATCTATGGTATAGACCAGGCAATCCAATATTATCGGGGAAATGTACCTTCAAGGAGTGGAGACATCAACGTTTGATGAATACTCCTGGATAAAAGTTATTTGTATTGTCTTCGCAGCATAAATTATGGTGGTATTTTCAAATCTAAGCTAAAGCATTAGTGAGTAATTTCAAGCGGGGAATATTGGGTATGTACATGAGACGGTGAGATTATGCAATTGATAAAAGTTGAGGTTTCAATGGATTAGAATAGAAAACTATTCCATCCCTCGCCCAAATTCTGCCAGCTCCAGGCAAGCGATCCAGATGCGACGCCGATTCAGCTTGTAATACGTCATACTACTTCGTTTTAGGGCTGCCTGATATTAACCAATATCCCCAAACGGCCTCTACCTTTTCTTTATATTGAAGCTCCTGTTGCCAACCTTGTTGTAGGACCGGTGTCGCGGATCCTCCCTAGTCAGGTTGGTCATGTATAAAATAAGAGGGCGTAGTGGATCTTAATTGCTTTTTATGGGGGTTTAGTGAAGGCAGAATGGCATAACTACCCTGAATCCATGCCAACAGTCCTATCGAAGAGTCGCATCAAGCAATCTCTTGAAAGGTGCGGCTCAATCGGACTGCTTGGAGCTCGCAAATCGTCCCCTCTCTTCTGGCGCTCTCAAAGGAGATGATGGGTTACTTCCCTACTTTTTGTGAAATAATCACGATCGATATCTTATCTTTTTCCGTCTTGGGAGCCTGACAGGATGTCTGGGTCGGGATCCATCGCGTTTTATCTGGCTGAATTTTAGCTGTGAGGCAGGCCCTGTGCCGGCGCGACGACCTAAGGGGTTTGGGGCTCAAGGACATTCATAGAATCTCATATACTATCTAGTTGAGAATTTTATCCACGACATGAATAGCTGCAAAGCGTTATTGCGATCGCCAAGGGACCGAAAATCTTCAGGTTACATTCCTATCTCTGTCGTTGTTTGGGGTAGCAATCGAATTAACAGTAGCAGTTTTCACCGAAAGAATGAGGCTGTGGTCCCCTATCAGAAGCATCAGTACCATGGCAGGCCGAGGCTGATTGTGAATGTTGACTTTGGGAGTCATCGTTTCTGCTTCAGGGGTCGAATATCCTGCGCCTAGGCCAAAAGTGGAGCAAGTATTATTCTTCAACTTAGTCACAAAACGCGTATTCAGCTTTCCAGCCAAGACACATGGTCAGGGTCTCAAGTGCAGGTTTAATGATTCCTGTGGTTTTAGAGACACTCATGCTCTAGACTCCATTCGCAAAGACCACCATGAGGGATATTTGCTTACAGAACATAGCTAGGCCTCGTCCGTGAGTATCCATGAGAGGATAGTTGCAAAACCTTTTGTTATCCAAGCATGTCTCCGTCATTCTCCATAGAACCATGGCGCTAAAATTACAGAGCAAACTGACAGGGAACCAATAATTACCTGCCTTGAGTGGAATTTTTGCCCTTAATATCCCGGCACTGCTGAGGATGGTTGAGAAGTTGAAATACCACTGCACCACCTAAGCTATTCGGTACATACCCATGCTCTTCTTTGATGGGCCAAAAGGTGAAGTATTAATCAACGTATGTATTCACCCTTATTTATTCTAAAGCTAATTCTGCATGCAACGAAAAATGATGAGGACATGCGCTGAAAGTATTTTTGGGATGATAGATAAAATACAGTAAATAAAGTTCCTCACTATATGCAGATTGTGGAGCCTGGAGCCAAGCCTGAAAGATTTACCTGTCACTTAGAGTCGATGCACATCTTAGTCCCTGCTCAATCTAGGGCTTTAGATTTCTGCATCTAAACGAAGTAGCTTTCCGTTAAATGTAATTTCGTGCCTTTTTCTAGCTACGTAATTATGAATGCCGAGGGTTAAGCCAAAAATTTACCAAGAATTAATTATCATTAATTCATTTTATTGTCCTGTCTGAGTCTATGACTATGTAGGAGATGCAGGTCCTCTCCGCCTACAGGCCAAGGATACCTATACCAGTAGTACATCCCCTCCTATGCCTCCCATACAGCTCCCCTCATACAGTATCACTCCTCACAAGTCCTCATTCGGTCATACACTTAGAGGAGCCCTTAACCCTTCATTATCTCCCCTCTCCAGCCAACGAAACGATGGTCATTTGCGGGTGTATGGCAGCCGGGAAAAATCGCAAAAAACCACCGGGTGCGGGGCTCTTCTAATACCGACATTAGGAATAAATCCGAAGACATATTGCCCCTTCTGAAGCGTTCGAAGAGGCCGGCCAGCTGGGCGCTGCAGACTTGCGGGTACCTCGGGAAATTCACCCTCTGCCTTTCTAGCCTCCTTCCAACTCCTTCCCGAAGGTCGTGCCGAAATGTCAGAAAAGTCTTGACAAAGCGTGATTGCTGTATAGTAGCTTAGCCTAGCTTCTTTTGTACCGTCCAGGGCGCTGGGGAATATCGTTGACTCGTCGACAAAAGAAGCCCTCCTGGCTAATTAGCCGAAATCTTAGTCTTGGCGCCCACACAGAATCCAAAGTTGAAAACTCCTCGAAAATGTCAGTCCCAGCATGGTCTTCAGAGACCTCTTACCCCTCTCACTCCACATATCAGCCGCCTGTCCTTCCTCAACATGTGAAGCCCCATTAGAGCAGCAGTCCCCCATAAACCAAGACCCCAACTTTGTATATTTCTACTTGATTTCCTCCTTGCGGGTATACGTAGCGTCGTAAATTTGTAGTGAGTGATGGTCGGTGATGATTGAGGCAAGCTCCTGTTTGCAATTGGGGTGACGCCTTTATCGGTCGTCGAGTCGAGATGATGTGTGGTTAGATCGGGGTTGAGGACTCAGAAGATAATGGCGAGTGCTGCATGATTGAGAAGTCGTCAAATGGAGATATGCATGTGTTTGCTTTCGACTTCGATTCAGAAGCGATTCTTCTTGGCTATCCCAGATATGCAGAGCTTACTGAGCGATTACACCGGCACCACTGGAAGGTGAAGAATTCGTCTTTGCCGGAAATTTACCAATAAATATAGGGCTAGAACTATACTGAGGTCAATAAGAAGCTTTAAAGAACGAGTACAAAATAGTCTACCTCATTAACAGTATTGGAGAGGGTATTATGACAGGTAAACCATAGCTAGCCATGGTATATTATCTAGACTTGTTGTAAAATATCTGAGTGACCTTAGAAATAGGTGTTTAATGGTATATATTCTTGTCATGGAAGTAGGTCACCTTGAGCCGAGAAGTCTTTAGCATCGAACAGTTTGCCAAGGAGTGACCTATTATCTTCAAACTGTATGCGAGCGTCGATCAAGTTCTGAGCTCCTCCTTTCCCGCGCAGAATTTGGACGATTTATTCCAGGTGAATGTCTAATCTCAGGATTTCTAGATAGTGATGAAACCTCAAAATCCGACAGCTCGGGAACAGAGCTCTTCGGACGACGGAGTTTGCATGACAGCATGGACACATGTTGACCGACACCCCCGCATATCGAATGAGGTTAGGCTGGCTACTCGTCGGCAATGGAGGTTTTCGAACTCCGCGAGGAAAAAATTAATGGTAATGCTCTGAGTTGATCTGACCTCCGAGCCAAACAATACTCCGGAGAAGTTGATAGTTGTCAATCTGATCTGATCTGATCTGATCATACCTGACCTGATTGCAGCTTCAGGAACTCTACATGTAGGTAGCAACCATGTATTGAAGCAGAAAGGCAGGCACCTCTGAATAACTTTTCTGATAGGCGCAGAGGGCTATATCGAGACACTCTTCACAGAAAACAAAAAGGACTTGGAGAGAAATAGGCGAACCCTGTTGATCCGGACTTTTTCATCAGTGTCCCGTGCATGGAATTCTTTACAAGTCGAACCTAGAGAGGAAGCACTATTGTAACGCACATTTTCTTGGATAAAATATTGCTTGATAGGTCTCATGATGGAGGAAGTCAAATCATACCAAAAATGCCGCAGGAAAGCGGAGGACAAGGCAAAATTGAGATTCTACTTAGAGACTCCGGTTGTCGAGGCGGATGAGTTATTACAATTTACAGAGTCAATATCGTTAAAGGCCTTTTGGAATCTTGGAAAGTGGATCGAGATAGTTGTGTGTAAATGCGTATCTGCAAAGCGCCGTTGGCCAATTGAAGTCTACCATGCGCGCCCCACCTGGAGCCGCCATTTGTGCAGGACGGATGACTGGCATCACCTACATGCGTCCACTGACACCATCGCTTCGCTGCTTGGGATAGATCTAGGTCAGAATTGTGTACCTTAGTAAGCCACATCCGCTACCACATCGGCCATCGACTTTGCTTTGATAGTGTGTCCGCGCGCCGATGTCATTGGTCTATGCGAAAGACAGTATTCTCTCAAGGGAGCTGAAGGCAAGGGGCCATGAGTTAACTTGTGCGGACTAGACAATGTCCTAGCTCACTTTACCCCTCGTCGACAATTGCCCAGCATAATTCCTCAAGGAGAAAAGTATCGATTAACGGTGCGGACTCCGATAAACCTTTTGAATAAGTGGCAAAATGCTGCGTATATTAGTCATTCTGAACGGCTGTTCTCCATTGGTTCGCATGAATTCTCCGAGGCTTTGTCATAACCATATGAATTTGATTCAAGGAACAAGTGCAGCTCGCAGATACCGACAGATAGAAAAATATTCACTACCATTTGTAAGACAGTGCCATTATCATCTCAGGCGCAGGTGTTAAAGGCTTGACTGTTCGAGACGAGAAATACCTTTACTGCGACGTAGCGAGAGGTTTGCTGTATATTCAGCTCGTTTGTGGCTCAGGAATCATTTGATGACTAAACGTCGAGGCGCGCATTATGTGCGGCTGCTGATCTTAGTCTCTTCCTCCCTGACCCTAGCAAACGTGGGCTGTGGCAGACCAAAGATTGTAAGGGTCTAGGGCTGAGAAGGGTGTATGTGCGGATGTGCAGGTGATGGAAGACGAACGTTTGCATTGCTGGGAATTCGATACGAGAGGTGAATTGTTTAATGTCATCCATTCAAATAAAAGCCATCTGCAATGAGATAAGGTACCATTTGGCCGGGGGAATGTGCTGAGCGGAAGAAATGTGCGGAGATGAAAAGGAGCAACGGTGTGATGAGGACTTTAAGCCTATTGCAGGTTCGCATGAGAAAGGATTGATGAGAAGGGAATTGCCGATGCAGCTCAGTTTGTGTGGGTTACGGATCGGGGAAAGTAGATGTATGTGGAAGAGTCTGATGGGGAGTGGCCCTGAGTGAGCTGGCCGTGATGATTGGGCTCTCTGATATCTGGGTTCACAGGTCAAGCGAGAATGCAACATTGCACTCGACTACCCCATCACCACAGGGACCTAATGCATGGCATCCCCAGAATACCCTATCCACTGCCCTGCGGTGTTCAGGTCAACCGCATGCTCTCGCATCTGCGGATAATTCGAAAACTCTCGAAGTTTGCGCAAATTCAGAATAGTTGGAGACTAGGTTATTCAAAAAGTGTTGTGTAGAACTACTGTAGCCTTCATAAACTTCTCAATCAGGTAAATTCTAATTGGCCTAAAGTTGGAACTATTCCTCCAGGAAAAAACACCTGGGAATCAAGCCCCAACTGAAGCGCTATAGGCGACTTTTTCATTTGACTTTACAAACCCATGCCGCTGTCCTTTCGGACATACTCCGCATGGGAATCATGTTCCCGAACTACAGCGTATTTCCCTAGGCAGACGAAAATGCTAAGAAAAAATTCATCTGCGCCACTCCCTCAATTATGACACCTCACCCTGGCAAATGTACTTTTCGCGATCATTTTCGTAACATCATACCTCTCCAACTCGAATTTAATGTCAGCGACTTGTCGGTGTAATTGTTGTCATCTTTCCTGAGACTTGTAAAATGCAGGAAATGTAGAGCTACTTGTCGGTAGTAATGCCACAGCGAATGCAAGAATTTGTAAATTTCAAATCTCGATCTACTAGTGTTTGCAGCATTCTTCCGGAATGGGGCTACCTCTTACACTACTCTCAACTGCCTGTCCATATCTATCACGCCTGAAATTTCGTCAAAGTAGAATATAGTCAGTTACATACATGGACGAAGAATGAAGTATTTCGGTATGATTTTGGATATAATAGGTTCTCGTGAAGGGTAAGAGACCAAAATGACTGAAGACTATGTCAGCATAACCTGATGGGCTGACCTGTGGTGAATAACATCATCTAGGTGTAGCTGAGACTAGGGGAGAGTATCCAACGCCTGTATTTATTAATGGTAGAGCGCATGAGCATTTGGGATTTTCTACACATGTCAAGTGATAGCATTGATTCACTGCACTCGCACATGGACCCTAGTTGAGGGCTGTAACTATTGGTGATGTGCACAAAACATGATCTTTTTAAGCCAACCAGAAGCTAAATTGAGATGAGACCTCAAAGTAATTTCAGAATTGGCTACAGGGCTGCGTTCAAATATGCAAAGAATAGTTTAATCTCATGTGACCCTGCTGATGTACTTTTTCCTTTACTAGTGCTCGTCAACGATGAGGGATGTTGAGAAATGAGAAGGTTTTATGCTGACTGGCTCGAGGTAGGACCTTGAGAGTGCCGGATTATACTAGCTCCCAATTCCTGTAAATGATCGCGATTCAGATCTAGCATTACCGTCATGGGCAAAAAAAGTTCACAGTGCCATTTGGCAGACGATCTCATGTCCCTTCCCCATCCTTTTAGATGATCGCAGGCATGAAATCTTGACCGCTCCATTATAGCAGCCATTGTGCTTCTCAGATGACTGATCGATCGGAAGTGGGTAGTATGAGATAATGAGCGGGCTAACATAATCGAGCAGAAAATGAAAAGGAACTCTGCGTTAGTACGGACTAGGCTCTTTGCAGGGCGTAGCTTGTCTTCTTTCAATGTTAATGTGACCAGGACTTATTAGATTCTCAACGACAAGGCTATTCGAATCTTTCGAGGCCGATGAGTGACGGATGAGACGAGTTAAAGGCCGATAAATACAGTAACGTCTCAGCGGACGTGTCAAAGCGACCTTATTGATTAAGTTGTTGCTAAATCGATAGATTGGTGCTTGACTTATATGTAGAATGAATATCATCAAAACCATACTCACTTTCGGCACATTTCAAGTCCTGGCCGAGCCATACTCCATAATATTCTTTGTCTACTTTATTTTTCCTCTAGCGAATACCTGACGATATAAGAGCATTAGACAACTTGTAATCTTGGAGCACCAAAACCACGTCAAAAATTTTAATCCGCATCACGTTTCATTTTAGCCTCTGGAGAATGCGAAATGAAAAAGTGCAGGAAATTACCCAAGCAGCCAAGACAACATGCGCGGCAGGATCTAGCATTGATAATCTCGTAAAATCGACCAATCAGAAGAGCGACATGGGTTATGCGACAACTTCCCTTACTGCCCTGATTGAACATCACATGCGGCAAGCCCCAGGTTGGACAGGGGAAATGGCAGGCGAAGGCCCCCTGAGTCGGACTCGAGGCTGAGATATTGAGTCAGCACCAGGTTTTCAACTCCTCCAGAACCAATTTGAGCACCTAGCCTCGCCTGCATGCTGATCAGATTCTTCCATTTGGCACCCTCGATGAAGTCCAGGAGGGCGGAATCGAGACTGGTCCGAGCGACGGACACGGAGATATAGGCTTCGTCGGCGGAGCGTGGGCGCGAGTCTGTGGACGACGGGAAGGCTGAGGGCTAGTGTTTAGACAAGACACTCTGTCTGCCCCTGCGATTGCGGTGTGCGGAGCGAGATGCGCCCGGCTCGCCAATCGCTCGTGGGAGCCGCCGAAGGCGCTTAGACACTTTCTATTTCAGGCAAGGGCCAGGGGCGAGGGAAGTCGCATACGTAGCCTGCTTCCCCGCAATCTCTCGATCCGCTAAGCTAACGGGAAAGCCGAAGGCGCAAGGTACAGAGAGGCCGGATTGTGGTGCGGCCTTGGGCGGCAGGGCGTCCCCAGAGTCGCTTCGGCCATGTCGACAAGAATGATTTTCATTCTTGGTGCTGCGAACTAGGGCTTCGAGCGAGGCAAGTCGACCGGCAGCCAGTTGCTCCTGCAGAAGTCATGGCTCGTTGTTGGTAGTGGGAGGAGACGGCCGATGGCTCGACGTCGTTCGATCTAAAAGAGAGAGCTAGACCAGGTGAGTTGGCTGATGACGCTGTTGAGTGCGGAAACTGCAAGACGGGCGTTGGTGGGAGAAGGAGAGAGGCGCTGGCGTCCCGCTGAAAGGCAAATCGGGGATGGCCGACACGGGCGCCCGGTAAGCGACGGCCAATGCCATTGGTTAGGTTAACGAGCAGAATTCGGCTGCCTTGTGGCCTAATCTGATGTTAATAATGGCCGTAACCGTCGATATTCATGTAAAACTGCATCTTGTAATTCTCCCGTAATCCGCATTGTCGCTCTTGGACTGGCCCTGCTACCTAGCCGTCAACTCCGCCCCACCAAGGTTTTTTTTAAGCTTTTCGCGAGTCAATTAGCCCGTCGCAACGTTCCTCAAACAATCCCATATTTCTGGGAACGTCGCAGTCACGTTGTAGCGAGGCCTCTCCAGCCTCGACAGAACCCAGCAGCGTCTCCTGTGTTTCAGAGCTAGTCAGAAAAGGATTTCAGTGGTGTGGAGAGTCCGTCTCAAGATTCTGCCAGCTTCCGTTGCCTACGGGTCAGACGTGTCGATGTCTCGCTTGGTGTACTGTCTCCTCGGCCTCCCTCACGGCCTCTTAGCAGACGCTATACGCCCACGCGTCTCTCGCGAGCCGGAGCTGCGGTTCACACCGGCCATATCGAGGGCCTGCAGAACACTAGGTGGTGGGCGATGCCCAGGACTGTAGCAGGGGGATGCCTAAGGCCAGACATGCTAGAAGACTGGGGGTGACGATGATTAAAGGACATGTAGCTGCGTTGCGGCGGGCGGGCGGCGGCGGGTCGGGGTCATCCCAAGTCCAGCCCCCGACGGCCTTCGCCCACGCTGCAAGTCCATTTCTGTCACAAGCCAGTTTAGCTTGGGTTTGGGCGGCGGCGGACGCTGGGAGAACAAAGTACGAAATAGCCTATGGACGTGCAGAGACGCGCTTGATGCCCCCGGTCGCCGCCGCCCCCCGTCTGCCAGCGCCGCGCCCCTCACTAAGACCGACGTCCATGAGCTACTCGCAGATCCCAGACCTGCACGGAACTGCACGCCTTGGAACTGCCAGCCAGCCAGGTGCCCATAGGCCGAGGAACGCGAGCACATACGCCTGCAGCCAATCCGACGAAGTCTGGCTGGTTGAAGAAGGTCGGACTGACTGGGGCTGGACAGAGGAGCGAGGGGCTGATCCCGTCCACATGGAACCGCCCTGGTCCTCAGGCACCCAGGCGCTCAACCTCTGGCATGAATTGCGACGCCTCATACAAAACCCTCTGGCCTGCCCCTCCTCCATCATCCACCATCGCCATTCACCATCGGTCTCTACATTACCCTCCTTCCACGCGCCTTTCATCATTCTAGACTTTTCTACTCGAACTATCGACTTCCCTTCCACATCGCAAGCCTTCGCTCCGCAGTCATGCCAGACAACTCACCTCTAACTCGTCTCCCCCTCTCATCTCTACCGTGGTCGAGGAAGGCCATGTCCATCTCTCAAACCTACCACCTCGCTCAGGCTGCTCGTGGAAAGCTCGCTCACGAAGCCTCGCAACCCGACCATTGCCTAGCTCGCCTCGTCGGTCACGCCAATCTCCTCGACTCCCTCATGCTCGAGCTCAGCCACGCCGAACAAGAAGAGCCACGCCTCTGCCCTGAGCCTCCCCGTCAACTATCAAACAAACCTGATGATTCCCGGCATGTTCAATGGGCCGACTGCATCGTCGAAGATCCCGAGGAGGATTGGCAGGCATCAGATGCAGACTCTTCCGACTCTGACAGCGATTACGACTCAGAAGAAGACGATGTAGCTCTAGAAGCTGATGTTATCTCGCTCCAACGCATTATACCTACCCCCTTCTCTCGCCCTGCTCCCAGCTATGTCGAGCATGGCCTTGAAAGCCTTTCTATTCATCAATTACAAGAGTCTGTCCCCTCTCACAGGCAGCCACCTGAGCTCGACCATGACTCCGACTCATCAGAGGATGAGAATATGCCACCTACTCCTCCAGCCAGTGCTCTACCTGGATTTTTCGAAAAACCATATAACTCTGATCTTTACGACGTGGTGGGATCGTCCAAAGACTCACCCATTATACCGCCCTCCGAGCAGCATGAATTCTTCGAAAAGGGCTTCTATCTACCTCGTCGAGGTGAGCAAGACTTGATATCTACCGTCAGTGTTTACTAGAAATAGCCATGAATGGTCTCATTTTATGGTACACTCGGCAAGAAGTTGTGTATTGAGTTGGAAAGTTTCACCACAGCACAGGTGGCTCAAATAGGGTAGCATGATGATGGGGCACGGCGTCAACTAGGAATTCTTAGACAACCCATATTTATCGGCAGGAGTTTATGGAATTTTACGGGGGTTGGAGTTTTAAGGTTACGGAAATTACGGCATTAAAACATCAGGGATTTGGGCAGGAATTGACCCCAGCAAAAATAGTATGGGTGTAGGCGGCTGGATCGAGTATGACATTGGCGCAATTATCGGCTTAGAATGAATGGGTCCTAGGAAATTGATGGCCACGATGGCCACAGGAATTTAAAGCTACGAGAAATAGAGCTAGTAACTGAAATGACATGATGCATAAGTAATGACGACGCATTCCTCTCTTGTGACATGTAATCAGCCTGGTATGAGCCCGAATCTAAGAAGTTTGCCGTGTGTCCATCCTCCAGCACGTCCCTGTACCTTTTACAAGTGGAATGACGGACCGTGAACAAAGCGTCTTAGCAGCCGATCAAGAATACCGGGATTCGCTTTACTGACCCAACCAACTTATGCAAACAGCTACAATCTGAAGCACACCCGCTCCCTGGCTGGAAAGTCACGTCGAATTTTGAAAGTTGAGATGGACACGCGCATTGAAATTTCAAGCGGTGATGACAAGAAGTTATCTTGAGCCCCGATGTGCGACGAAATTAGCGTTACGAGTGTTTACTTCCGTAACACCCGCGGCAAGGCATCTGGCCCCAACAACTCTCTTCCCTAGCCTTCTCGAACACCTTTTGGGCATAATTTGTGAAGCCCAGCCAGTACAATGTACCACTGCACTATCCAGCCGTGACCGTGTTTGTCATACTAAAACCACCTTCGCAATCGAAGCTGTATAGCGCGCAATTCTTAATGTGAAAAACTCCTTTCCACAAATCGAATCCAGCACTTTACAAAATTGTATTTATCCCTAGCATCATCTTGCCTCTTCATCTCAAATTCTCTTACTTTCTTCCCGAGGATCTGCCTCGCCAGATTTGTGCGCTAAAGCTAGTTGCCTCCTGCCAGTAATTAGGTTGTCGTAACCATATATATGGGGGCTAGTTGAGGCCAGAGAATGGTCAACGAGAGGTGTAGTCATAGAAATATAGATATTATGGGTCGTACTTGTAGACTTGACAGGGCTTTGATGGGAAATTATCATATTTGCTAGGAAAAAATGATGTGATGGGAAGTCTTAAATCATTGTCTCTTTTTTTGCATCAACTTTTAATTGTGTATGTATCTAGCAAGCTATGACACAATATCAGAGATAATTTACAAAATAGATGACTCAATTCAAAATTAGAACGCTCATAGTTCGGATTTTATTTGCAAGTACCACTGCGACGTCATGCCAACTTTTCCTTCACCCAAGTCAGCCCCCACCACTGAATATCCAAACACGGAAATTTTTCTGAATCCTACGTTGGTACAGACATACCCCTATCATCGATTGATTTGTTTCCGCGCAAGATATGATCTCAAGATTCTCCTTCCCAAGTGGGGTAGGTGCCCAGGCTACTCAAACTATACCGGAGATTACCACCAGGACGCGGACCACGGAATCTTCCATCCTGGGCTTTTTTACTTATTAAGCTACATTCAATCAATCAAAGTCTTGGCAAGTACAACGATATCCATTTTATAAAGCTCCTTGCCAAAATTCGAAATCTCAAACTCGTTGACTTTGTATCCATCCCTTGCACGATTTTGCTAATCTAGTTTTCTCTCATGTCCGTGCCAAAGAACTGCCTCTCGGATTTCTGCACCACGATTTGTGATCATTGAAATGAGGATGTTCTAGATCTTACTTGCAGAATAGATCTGGTAAAGAGCCTTGAATCATTGCTTCGTTGAAAAACTTCTTAGTTATTGCGAAATTTGACTGAACTTGAATGTGGGAGAAAAGTTCATATCTAGGTTCATGAGACACTGCTGACAGGAGTTCAGTGTCCGTCCTCCTGCCGCACTAATTTGTAACGTGTGAAACCACTACAGAAATTGTGGAGGACGAATACTGAGAGCCTGTCAGCGGTGTCCTCCACGAGACTAAAAATGAAATATCAAGCCAAAGCTGAGATGAAGTCACGATAAAGGGTGAACTTACGATTTTGCAACCGCATGGCGGTCAGAGGGAGTGGCGTAGGCAAGTTTTTGGTAGAAGATACGACCAGCAGAGTTTTCGTGACTGCGGAACCCAACGAAATCAATCATCAGCCCCAAAATACAGATTGCACATAGACTCAAACCTGTGTGATGTTTGCATCACGACAATATATACCCTCCACCATCTTGATCTACCTTGAAAAATCTCTGCGAACTAGACTCATCTCCCCACCTACCGAAGCACTCCAAAATTCAAACTATCAAAATCACCATCAACAGTGTAAGAGGACATTCAACCCTGCGTAAGTGCAAAGTGCTATAGTGGCACTATCGAAGTATCAGTCTCAGTTGAATCTACAAGTCAGCAAAAGGTACTACCAACTTAACCTCCGACGGATGCCGGCAAAGGCAAATTATTCACTTTCCAGTAGTGCTGGTGAAATCGCTCATTATGCTTTAAATATCTAGGATAGCCAAGAGGAGTCTTACTCGAACCATAGTCAAGAACAAACACAAACGCAAGCATATCTATATTTAACTACCTCTCATCACTGTTGGTGTTAGCATTCTTATGGGGTCTTTAACCTCTATCCAACCACATATTATCTCGCCTCGACGACTGATAAAGGAATTGCTCATATTACAAACGGGAGCTTGCCCCATTAATTACCAGCCAACTACCACCACAAAATTACGACGCTGCTTACACCCGAAAGGAGAGTAAGTCGTCAGATACAAAACTTGCGATTTAGTTTATGTGAGACCGTTGCTCTAATGGGGCTGTATCTATTGAGGGAAGAGGTTACTTTTGGGCTTGATGTGACTTGAGTGATTCGTGGGGTTTGACTCTCAAATGGTTGTGGTCGTCAAGACAGAGGCTTCGGATGATTATCCAGGAATTCTATTGTCGATAAGTCTACGGCACTCCCAAGTACCCAAGACGGCACGAAAGAAGTTGCGATAATCTATTATACAGTAATTACGCTTTGTCAATACTTTTCTGACTGTCGAATGACCTAATGACTTGATGATGATGATATTTTTATCGTGACCGGGTACTACCCCAGCACCCAGAGGGCATGGCACGGGTAGTCCAGATCTATACGACTCTTCACTACCTACATCATTGTTTCGTAGAAACTTGAACACGCAAAACTAAAACAAATAAAACACCAATTCTAATGTGCTAGCGCCCTGCGCTACACCTTAATTCTCGTACCACACCGAACGGTGCCAAGAAGCATTACAGTCGACCTTTACATCCCCTGTTCATAATTCAACCTTGCTGTAACACTTTGTTACAGTTAAAAAATGCCAGAATTTCTACCATCCTTCCTGCCCTATCATATCCCTGATCGTAGGACGTGGTTCCTTCGTTTCCGTCCTCCATTTGTGGATAGTCGGGCGACACTCTACAAAATGCCGTTGCCGCTTTTCTCTGCCACATTTTGTTGGAATTTCGCACCAGTTGCATACTCTAGAGCTACACAATTGTCCGTGATGATCGGCAAGGCTGCTTAGGAATAACTTGGCGCACAATTGCACTAGACTGAAATTGGTTTTAGCGTCAGACAAAGAACACAAGTAATATGTAGAAACCTAGATGTACATTCTTTAAGAACATTCCGACGAATAATATAATATAATAAGAACGATTTACGTGAATAATTTATTTGATTAAACTACTACGAAGCACTTTGAAGCTGTGCCTATATTCTTTGAGTGAGTTTCCTCTTAGAACCCATACACACTTTCCAACACGTTTGCAAAGTATTTCTTCATTCTGGTGGTGGAACCATCTATGATAGCTGGCGAAGTCACCATGCCCAGTCCTTGCTGCGATGAGGCGATGATATGCCCATCGAGGTAGAGCTAGCTCCGGAGGGCGTTTTCTCCGCATCAGTAGGTCCAGATCTTCATACCTACTCGACCTGTTCTTAATCCACCATTCTTCCGCAAATTTTTGTACCTGGATATTGACTTGGAGTTTGAGAGCTGCAAAAGTCAAAACTTTGTGAGTTTCCTCCCAGATGCACTCTGGTCTCGGTATGTTCCCATCCCGATTATTTGACGCAAGGAATGCCTTTGCCATCGCGTTGGCCTTTTCGTTTCCTGGAATGCCGCTATGTCCCGGAACCCAGTAGACCTCTATCGCTGGTCGAGTCTTAAGTAGTTCCCAAAAATTCATGACCTCTTCTTGCGAGGAATTTGTTTTGCAATTTTGAAGGGCTCTGACCGCCTCTTGATTGTCAAGGAGTACCTTGATATCTGTGCTGCCTCCAATTTCTAACGCTGCCTCTAGGCCTCGTACTGTCCCGGTGATTTCCGCATCAAAGACCTCAGCTCCAGGAAGGAACTTTCCACCGCTCGCTATAAGTTCACCGCCCCTATATATGGCGTAACCAAAGGCTGAGTATGCTGGGACGGTCGATGACCCATCCGAGTAGACACAGAGTGTTCCTGGGGGAAGATCCCTGAGCCAAAACATGATCTGCTTCGCCTTTTCCTCCTTGTCGCATTTAGCCCTAGCAGTAGCCATCGTTGTCTTTGGTTGGTAAAGCTGCCCAGGCCCTTCTGATGCTGGCAGGCTGAGGTTCCAATTTTGAAGGCGTGTTAAATATTACTGTGGAACCTTAAAGACACGTTCTTTCTGCCCCTCTCGTAGTTCGAGTCGCTTGATTGCCTCCTTGGGTGTCTCAGCTGCCCTTGACAATAGTGGATGATAACTGTCGAGTCGGCGAATTCTTGCCGCACTTCGGAGCTGTCGCTGCTGAAGCATTATTTCTGCAGGTAAGATCCCTGATTCCCGGTGAAGGACTATG